ATAATAAAGAAGATAAAAAGACCTATATTTAAGAATATTATCTACTCGTAATTATTTCGTTATATGACACCCTTTACTCTACCACGTTTAATCCTTAACACGTTCACAGTTTGATTAAAACAGCGCGAATGCTTGGAATAAATAGCCGCGTTAACACTGTGAAGAACATTGGAATATATGAGACCCAGGTGGAATTCGCGAGTTGGAAAAACAGAATCCACCCGTAAACAACTTTAATTCTTTATTAGTAAACTTCTCGCTTCCGGGGGAAAAATATATATGTCAAATTTCTGCCATTCGATATCTAGCAAATTCTAAATTCTACGTTCCTTCTATCTTATTTCTAATTCTTATATCTACTGATTTTTTCTATTATTTCTCATTAATCTTAAGTATTATTCTTCGTGTTCTCGATAAATGTCGAATGACCAGAGAGGAAACTTAACCCAAACTTAACGGCCAACACTAAAGCTAGGCAAAGTATGGCACGATATTTTCACACTTCACACATTGCCCAGCCAGCGCATATAACATTGTCCTTCGTGGTGCACGCTCGTCTCGAAGGAACTGGAAATTACCAAAATGAAAAGTTGCCAAAAAGGTCGCACATTTCCGGTTCACCGGTTACGGTTGAACAGTGGTTGCACTGCGGTGTACACCAACGGCAAGTTATTATTTGTGTTATGCCTCCGTCAGTGGGTAAGCCGGCAACGAACCTAGAATATCGATTCTCAACTGTCGAAGGGAGGCAATACGGCCGACTTCCGGCACGAACCGGAAATGACTGTTCCACGCCTGCCAACCCAATTCCCCGTTCCCTCTTTTCCGACCCATAGTCCCACCAGCTCGCCGCGTAACTATAAAAGCCCGAAGCTTTACGTTCCCTTGTGGATGATTTTGAGAAACGCTTTGATAGTTGGATGCACCACCTCGGCATTTATTCGAAATTCCGAACAGGAATCGGATTTACATTACGGTCAATGCGCCTGTCTAAAGCGGCGGAAACGCGACGCTCCCTTTTATGCTATGAAAAACGCGTAATAGTTTCATTCTAACGATCATTTCTAAAAGTAAATACCGCGAAAATATACCGGAGCTTGAGTTACACAACGGTTTCTACGTAGCTTTCCGTCACGGTGAAACGGAATGTTTGACTATTTGCATAACGTGATTATTTAGTTAGCCATTCTCTTTAATTCTGTCGTCGAGAGTTGCAAAGAAATTATTAATGCTTTTTGCGAGACTGTTAGCGGATCTTCTCTTCTAGGTATTCCCCTTTCTTGAATCCAGGCTGAATTTCATTGTGAGAAAAATTCTTCCTCCGAATATTTTATCGTTTTAAATAATACCGGGTAGATTGTTACTTTTATTTTTTATTTATTTTGCATTTCCTAGGGAAGATTTGAAAGATACTTTTGTCGAACTTCGTTCGAAGATATTCTCCTATTATTTTTTCCCCACGTTTTAACCAATATTTAAGATATTCATCGAGGTAAATACGTATCCGTCTATCGGTTTTATATTTTACCTTTCGATTTCGCGAGATAGACGCCCATTTCCCCATTTTACGTCGGCAAATCCATAAAACGTGAAATAACAGCTCAGTATGGAGCGCGGAACTTGAGAAAAATTGACCGTCTCCAGTCGTGCTTGCATTTGAAGATAGCGAATTACGATTAACACCTTTATTTTACGGACAAATATTTTCACATCGTTTTCTCGCGTAACGGTGATTAATTCGCGTGCAATTTCGAGAGGAATTCGTTAACAGAATTTATTTTAAAAATTAAGCAAACGTGAGACTTCATCTTCAAAGTAATATTCTTTGATAAAATAAAACAAACGTCACGAGAAGACAAATTATGTTAACACAGTGATCCAACATTCACGATTCGCTACTTATTATCAAAAATTGTATCACAACTTGCGCGATGACTAAAACGATTGACAATATTTACCTATTGCATACATTGTAGAGGCATCAGGCTGCACGACGGGTAAACGTAATTATTTATACACGTTGTTGCCTCTAGAACAGAAACAAAATGATTCTCGAAACTATATTATCCCACAATTAACATTATCGCTATTATATCTTTGAAGGATACGCTAAAAAATTGTTCATATGTTCAAAATAAAATCTGTCGACTGGAACTTTGATACGGATCAATCAGATTCATCTGTGATACTAAAATAGAAGCATATTTTACGTTCTATTTGTGTCAAATGTGGTATTGCAAAATTTGATTTTGAATAAATATCAAATAAAATCGAATCGTATAGAATTCTACTCAGATAACCCAAAATCTTTGGTATGTTGAAAATTCACAGGTCACAGATTACGATTTTGTGCCACGTTCGTTTCAATTAAATCGAAACTCGTGACAGAAATGAAAAAGACGGTATTTTTCAATGACAGAAGGGAAGATCGAAAGATTTACTGTACTACAAAGCGTATAATTTACATTCGTCCGCTGCTTCCTCTTTTAACTTCGAATATGTCCAACATTTCCCTCGCGATTTCTTTTCAGGATTCCCGTTTTCATTCTGCAGTTAGACGGCCAGGAGATAATTATATTTCTGGTATTTTTCCCTATTCAGCTAACCTTTTTTAATACACGTATAATTACGTTAAGTCATTCACAGATATCAGAATAATTTATACGTGCATCAAAGAGATTAAAATAGAAGATTTTAACTTTAATGACTTAAAGCATCGTGTTTCTCCGACAAAGATAAAATCTTCCTCTCGTACTACCGTTTTTAAACTTGCCTCATCGATGAGATTATAACATTTGATCAACACAGAACAACAACAAAAAGTAAAAATTAAATCCTATAATAATAGTTACTTTAATTACGATCGAAGTAATACCTCCTTTAGTGAAATTTTTAACGAACGTCTGTTCAAACGAAATCACAGTTCCGATACGAGACTTACGTCGTCTCTGTGTTATTTTCACTATCAAGGACAAAATGGAAAATGTACACGTAGATGAAAGATGGAAATTATTCACGTGTGAAAGCGTCGTCGTTTCCATGGGGTGAAATATTACAGAAACTGCAAGATCACGGGATTTACAAACAGCAGAGCGAGAGAGAGAGTGCACACTTCAGAAAATGTTCCGTGGTTTTTCACGAATGTCTAATTCACGCGTTTTCCACACAATGTATGCAACGAAGAGAGAAAAAAACGAAAAGAGGGAATTCAACGCAGCATTACTAACGACTCACTTGTATTCTGACAACAACGGGACCATAAAATGCAACAGCTATAAAGCTATATACTTGAGAGGAGCTAGACTCTTGTGCACTCGACATGAAACGCTCTGAACATGCAAACTTTCTGAAACAACAGAAACAAATTTACTTTGCTATCGAACAATTTCGCGATAAACAAATGCTACAAAAATATGCATACCCCGAGTAGGTATAACGGTACCAGCGTATGAATAGCACCCTTTTGTTTTCTAGGCTCCCGCATGGAATACGAGTGTTCCAGCATTGACTATTTTCCAAACGAGGAGTACAGTCCGGATCCCAGCGATTCAACGATGGCAATACCATGTGAGTACCATGAGAAACGCACCATGAGACAGATGGAATGGGGAATGTGTGCCTTTGAACGGGGTTGATTAGGTGTCCTCTGTCTGGTACTGAACTGGAGTGTGACACGGTCGTAAAATATTCGGCGGGAAAATGCTTTCAGCTGGGAGAATGTACCACCCATGATAAACTGGATCCGACAATTTGTCTATCCCGATTCCTCCCCTCCCCTTTTTCCGCGCTATTTTTTTCTTCTTTCTTCCAGTTTTCATTGGACCGCGAGGGAAAAAAGAGAACGCCCAAACAGCGTGAAATTCGCGAAAATTCTTCTTTCCACGGTGGCTCGAGTGGGAAATATCTTTTGTGCTATTTTCTAGTGTAATTGAAGACGTGACTTTTATCGCTTATTGGTGAAAAAACAGAGGATTGATGAGTGTATCAAGAACTTCTGGTATACTTAGGTATACTAAGGATCTTCGGAATTAGAATGATTAATGGTAATTAACTTGGACTAAAGTATCCTAATAATTTGTGTAATTTAAAGTAGGAAATCTGAAATCCACTGTTTTAGTGTTAAAGATTATATTTTGAGATTGCATTTTTAATTTTCTTTGAGAATAGTATTTTTTATTCCCACTTGAATGTGTGAAATTCTTTATCTAATAATGCCATTAATTTTGCCCCAGAAAACGAATAGGTTCTATTGTATGAAATCCTGAATCTTAATAGCTCCTCGTTGTTTGGTTCGGTAAATGAATTCTCAGAAACAAAATAGAGTTCGTTCGAATCCAATCAATTGAACAGTTAACATAAAGTGGAGTATTACAGAGAACTGCATTGCTGTGACATTTTCAATCTTCTGAAACAGTTAAAGTTTGCACAAAAAGAAAGTATTTACCGGTTCGTCAACAGGTGCAATTAACAATCCTCTGTGGATAATTCATATTGAATCATATTGAATCGTTGGAGGCAACAAAGCCAATGCCTATAGAAGTTATTCGTGAAGCGGTATATAAATTTCCATATCGTTTGAAGGAGCGTGTGTAAAGGTGGTCACTTTGAATATTTTTAACTATTTTTATGTTATAATACACGGCGATTATTCAATAATTTGTTTTAATATGGTTTATTCAACGAATCTCTACATTCATTTCTGTTATAATTATACACTTGTCCGTCCCACTGGTTCCACAAAAGAGGAGTGAAAGAAAAAGAAACCTGGAAATCTCCAAGCCTAATTTTTTCCAATTTTTCAATTTTTTAATTTTCTAATTTTCTAATTTTTTAACTTTCTGATGACAGAGATATCAACTTATGATTTTCAAAGTATAGTACTTCCAATTTAGATATTTCTTAAATTAGATCTCTTTGTCTCTTTACTTACCGAACGATTCTAGTACCTTACAAACAGAAGACTATTTTCTCTTTTAATTTACCTGTTACACGAAGTCACTTTTATTAAGGACAAAATTTATGGTACTTCTACGTCTTTGTTAAACTGTATCCTGTACATAGTTTCATCTCGAATGTATTTCATCAGTATCCTCGTATTTTCATCTGATGACCGAAGAGCAATTTCGATGGGGAAAGAAAAATTTCGGCCTGGAACTTTTCCCATTCGTTCAGCCTTTCATACTCATATTTTTTACGCAGATGCAGTTACCAAGTCGGCAATGTTCTTCTTCGCTGCAACATCACTGCTGGTGGTGGCCGAAGTTTGTTACTTCACTGCTCACGTTACTCACCCGAGACACAGACTTTGCGTCTTTGTCGCCGGGGTAGTCTTCATAGTTTCCGGTGAGTAATAAAGTACACCGGCTTATATTATACGCAATACTTTACTTGCACGCTGCATTCCTGAAACGAGCTATGAATACAAAAATCAGAGAAATTACGAAACCTATCGCACAGTAGAATATGCTGCTTTACGAAATCTATATTTTCGTAAAAAAAAAAAGCGATCGGAAAACCTTTATTTTCAACATTCGATAGACAAACTATTACATTTCACAAACCAGAAAAATATCAGTGGTTGCGTTCGATTCAAGTTTTCGCGTATTTCTCAATTTCGCAACTGTGGAACAAAATTTATCCACTGAAAATTCGAACAGTATTTCGAATAAAATTATCGAAATGGCAGAAAGCGCTTAAATTCCTTTCAGCTAAATTCACTTTAAAAATCCATTACGTATCGTTTGATTTGTCGATCGTAAATTATGGGAAAGCTCGTATCGGTTTTTAAGTGTCACACGGTAAACATTTTCACGGTGATAAGTATTGTGTAACTTTTCGATGAAATCATGTAAGAATTAGTAGGTTAAAGTTTTTTCTACGCTGTCTAGCCTCGCGAGTGGTGTACGTACGAAGATGGATTAAAATTTAAATCATCGAGTTACGCAAGCTGCTCACTCCCCGTAAAATTGTCGCGGGGACTGCTGCAGAGAGATAAGGTTCGGGTTATTAAATCAGTTTCCCTTTCAGGTTTGTTAATGTTGGTGGGAATGGTGATGTACATATCTGTGTTCAAAGCTGAAGTTGGTAGTAAACTTAGACCAAGGTCATCGTTTCAGGTCAGTCTCATGTCACTCTCTACATTTCTCCCTTTTTTTTTTTTAACACCTTCCGATAAAAAAAAGTAATATTTCACAGATATTCCCGAATTCTCACGAACCAAGAATACATTTGCATTTTCCAAAAAAAATACGTAGTAGAAACATTCTATATTTTAAAATTCAAATGTAACTTCAGAATCCATATAAAGTGCCGCACGAAAAATTCTCAAGCGCTGTAATATTATAATTCTCAAACGCTATTTTAAGAAATGCTTAAAAAATTCAAATATAGTCTTTGAAATCCATATAAAGTGCCACGCGAAAAATTCCCAAGCGCTGTTTTAAGAAATGCTTAGAAAATTCTAATACAGTCTTTGAAATCCATATAAAGTGCCGGACGAAAAATTTTCAAGTGTTGCAATATCTCGAGATAAATTATAGTTCAACCTGCAAATTCCAAGTAGAAACATTCTATATTTCGAGAAATACTTAAAAAGTTCAAACATATAGTTTTAAAATTCACTTGGAGCGGTAGACGAAAAATTGTGAAACGCTCTAATATCTCGAGTATAAATGATATTTTAACCAGGGAATTGAACCGTGGAATATCCTACAGAGTGATGAAATTCTCGGTTTCATATTTCCTACGGTACACCTTAGATTACTTTTTATCTGTGTATCATGCCTGTATGAATGAATATCTTCGTCGCAATCTTGCGATTTCAGGGACCACCCTTCACCTACAGGTACGGATTCTCATTTTTGCTGTACGTGAGTGGCTTCATCACGACCGAGGTCGCTGGCACTTATGCCATTTTCTTGTATATTTCTTGGCACCAAAAAGAACTGGTACGGAGAGATTCCAGGCGAAAAAATTACGGGGTTGGTAGTATTAGCTTCTTTTCTACGACTTCGTAGGATCGTGACTGATCCGCGCTCGGGAAACTTGGACCGAATTAACATCCGTTTAAAAAGTTTACGTTACGGAGAAATTGAAATCAGTTTGGTACATTCGATTTTGGCAGAATATCAGAACAATCGGAACAACTTTTCTCCTCTTAATTGTGTCTCCTTCGTTTTTTCTTTCTTTTTTACTTCGACGTATATGCAAATCTGGAATTATTTTTTCTCTCTCTCGTTAACAGTCGGTCCTTTCGCAATGGCAAACAAAGTAACTTTTTCGTGTTTCCAAAGTCCTCGCTACTTATTCCATAAAGTTTACGCCTTTCATCTTGATAATCCAGCGTGCTTCTTCCTCGGTTTACGCGTTTGCTCGAGATTCCTGGAGAAGTTTTAAACAAGATAAATTATTCTGTAAAAAAGAGAGAAAAAAGAAAAGAAAACACAGAAGAAAATTCAACCACAGTCTCTCACGGTTTCGAGCATAAAATAAAACTCTCGTGTAAATAAACTTCAAGCTTGCCTAAATATCTCGCGCACGAACTGCAAATTCGGGTGTGAAGTTTATCTCCATAAGTACGAAGTTTGCGTTGATAAAGGAACAAGTTTCACCCGTGACTTTTACATCGTTTCGCAGTAACTTACACGCGATAATTGTTCAAACTGCCCCCAAAAAAGAAATTCGCGACTTCACCGCGAATTAATTATCCTCTTTTTTTTTTGTCGCACACGGCTTAACAACGTTTCGAAACTTTGTTTTATATATAACAGACGTCGAGCACGGATTTGCTTCGCTAAAAATATTCTGTCCAAGTTAAATTACTCGTTTAATGGCTACCGTTAATAGAGTATGAAATGTTTTACATGAACCCCCATCTGCCCGTAATTCGATAAGTGCTTGTGTAAAATTTTCCTTGAAAAGGACGCTCGCATAAATTGCTTGAAAATGAATCTTGTTTAAATTTAGCAAACACTGTACCCCCGCGTTAAATCAATATCGTAGACAGCGAACGAGTTGGTATACATTAAAACGATTATCGAAACGTGAAACAAAAGAAAAAAGAGCAGACGAAACAAGGAAGAAAAAGAGTTTGTCGGGGAGGAAGAAAAAAAGGGAAGAATCTGTCGATAGTTTTCTTCGCGATCCGCGTACAATTAAATCTGACGTCTTATTTGTCCGTTAATTAACACGAAGGCAAATTCGTTGGAGTTATTCTTAAACTGAATTACTATCTGGCAGCTAGAGTTAAGTTACATTTAACTGGTAAATAGACACCGAATGAAAACGAAGCGGAATGCGAAGCAGAAGGAAGTGTTAGCTCTCTCGGTCTCCGAGTACTTGAGATCTCATTCGTGCAATGCTACAGTGCTCCGGGAGAAACAAGTGACACTCTTGACTTCGTGTCTCCAGGTACTAGTTTTCACCGCACCGAACCAAAGATTAAAAGCATCGGTTCACTTTATGACAGAGTTTCGAAACTTTCAACGCCTGGCAGATACTCTTCGCAGCGAAAATATATATATATGTACTGTATATATCGAAACAGAGGCAGAGACAGTTGCCAAAGTGGAATCAACAGTGTTGGTAACAGAAGACGGAAGCTTAGTCACCGAAATTTAGGACCAAATTCTAAGAGGCATACCTGTTGCAGTACTTATGGGCACTAGAAACTTGCCTCCTCTCCAGAATCTAAATCCACGACATAATAAAATCAGACATTCATGCTACCTAAAGTCGTCTCGAGAGATTAGAACACTCGTTCTTGTAGAACTTCGTCGGGCCATTTTAATTTGAAGTTCTGTGCTCGTGGATGCTTCACGAGTTAGATGTTAGAGGTAAATATATTTTGTGGAGGAAAGTGCATATTTATCAATGAAGTATAGTTCTACATTAACTCTCAGACAGTTGACTTTGCAACACTCAAACACACAATGAAGGCTGGGTCATAATCATCGAGGAAATTTAAATGTAAAATGATAAGGGTCGAACAAGTGTTTCGGCGCGAAATTTGAAAAATTCGAAAATTGGAGTGAAACACTTCATTTCTTTAAAAATAACAGTATTCGTTCACTGTTCGTGAAATTATGGCAAAACACTGTGCACTCGTGTTTCAACAGTGCATTCGTTTCGATGTGTAAACAGATCTTAATTCGACACGCGACGTGTGTGTGAGGAAATAACGTCGCGTTAAATAATCGAATGATAAAGAGAAAGGTGACAGAAGGAGGCAAACGTGAACGGTGCATCGGATAAAAAAGAAAGGAAAATACAGGAAAAGAGAAGAGAAGAGAAAAGGAAAAGAACAATTCTCACCCTACAGTAATCCGTATAGTCTCTGTTAACGCTGAGCTTGATTCATCCCCACTATGCAAGGGGAAGTGCAGTGCCTTGCATGCAGCGAAAGAGTGGAAGTGGAATAGGTCAACCATACACCGACCGTCAACCTTGTCCCTTCAACTACAACTACATATGTACATACACTTGGTTATTTTTTATTTCGCAGAGTGCTAACGACCAACTTTATTTTATTATTTCCCCGTCGAAACGACTGCTACGATTTATTTTACGGATTACGTCTCTTCCGAAACGTACACTCCGAATAATACATATATATATATTTTTAACTAATACAACAATTTACAGAAATGTTCTTTTCTAATAATTCTAATAATTCTGGTGGCTTCCACGCGAGGGAAACGAGGATTGAAATTTCTCTTAATCGAACAAGTGGTAATTATGCAGATTGGGGTTTCGTGTAACTTTTCGATCGAAGCAACGAACCCTCGAAACTTCTCGTATTAAACGTACAACTTTCGATACAAATTTCCCCCGTACGTGCAAATGCGATTTAATTATTTCGCCGAATTTCGCACTTTCTATTATTTTCCCTCGATCGTGGCAAAATTCTTGTTCCCTTTTTATAACGTTTCCTTTCAGGGTGTGTACCACTTAGACAATCACCACGTGCACCATGCGAATCACGCGACCATAGGTCACAGCGGTTTCCTCTGCGAGAGGCATCAGAAGAGATACTTCTTCGGCAGGGATTCCGTGGATCACGTCGACTTCGACGAATTCTTGCCGCCGCCGCCGAATTTGGATTACCACGATTATTCCAGACAGTTTCCCAGAGATCTCACCACGCAGACGGTAAAAAGAGAAAATCCCTCTGTGAAGAGGGACAGAGAGTAATACTCGCGCGGAGAAGTGGAAAATGAACATTTTTTTAATTAAATCGAACAGCTCGAACCTTCTCGTCAATTTTTGCTTCGTGTGAAATTACAATACCATTCGATTGCAATTGAAACTGATATCGATCGAGTCACGGTTAAAATGAAACGTTCGAACGTTACGTTGGAGTAAGTGTGACTGGATATTTCAGGTTAGTACAACAGCGGATGTTTTACAAGAAGAGGAAGAGGAATACAGTCCAAGTGTACAGCACGAATTCGTGACTTTTGATTTGGACGAACCGTTGCCGCCACCGCCGCCAGTTAGGGGTAGCGAATGGACCTTCGATACACTGAGGAAAACTACTCCCGTCTGATATACCGTCAGGTATTACTACTTGCATTTCGTTTTCACTTTATTGCGGACGTAATTCAGTCTTCGTGATCGATTGTGTACGTTTTATTGATTACTGGGTATTACACGCTACGTGTACAGTTCACGACGTGAGATTTCGTGAAATATGAGAAGACATTTGTTTAATTAAATTAATTATTATTGTTAACTCGCGTTGTGCACCGTCGATCATGAGTATTGAGATATTCATCACGTTCGTCGAGGAAGGATTATTATGATTTAAATTACGTTTCCTCGTCCAAGTTAGTATCATACATATATCAGTAAAAATATACAGGGTGTTCAGGTTATTAAATACTTCTCAGAGTTTATCTCGCAAGTGGTAGATTTGTGAGAAAAATAGAGGACAAAGTTGAATTATTTTTTATGCACTATAGGATGGCTTTTTTAAACGATTGTTTAGGTTTGCTTCACATTCGACAAGTGTCCCTATTATTAATATCAAACACTTTGCATCGGGAAATACAATTTCCCCTCCTCTTCAACAATTCCATCCTATCTGCGCTGAAATTTCACAAAACTTTCAACCCGAACCCAAACATATTTGGACAAAAACCTAGAAAAATATTTGCACGCGTAGACTCAGAAACGATTATAGCAGATTGTGAGGGTAACGCGACTGGCTTGTCATTTTTTCCACGCAGATACGCGAGGCTGGTGCAAAGCGTTGAAAGCGACGACGAGGACGAAGCGGAAACCGAGGAGGACCACGACATAGCCGGCGATTAAACAAATCGACTTGCTTTTTAATGAGGTACCTTGCGACGCGATTGGAAAGCTTTCATCGGTTGAAACACATCGAGAAGAGAGAGACAGAGAGAGATACAACTCCCCACGCAGAAGCAGACGAAAGACGGGAAAGTAACATTGGACTTGGATCGATAGATTATCGAATTTCGGTTTTTTAATAACTTGTTGAACTTTCCGCGACAGACTGCAGCGTAATTCTGACGTTCGTGAGGCTTCGTGAAAGGAAGAAAGTGAATGAGAATGAAAAGGGGGGGAATAGAATTTATCCATGAATAATGATAAAGTGGAACCCCCGGGTATCGATTAACGCGTTCAATATTCCACTCTTTTTGTACATTTTTTAATTGAAAGAAAGAAAGAAAGAGGATCGTGAAGAACAGTTTAAGACGATATCTGGTGACTCGATAAAACGTGAAACTCTGAAACGACGAACTTCAAGATTGAAGAAAAGTTGTCGGGCAGACTTCGTTTTACTTCTTCTTCTTCTTCCGATGGCTTTAATCAAGCTAATCGACTGCCAGCCTCGATCACTTCTATCATTATTCGCATACAGGAATGATATAGTAATCGTTTTGTTCAAACGAACCGTCCCGTCGTCGTTGAAGGAAAAATTGCAGGAACGAGTTTAACGATTATCGATAGACTGTGGATATTTATGCAATTGTAATATATGAAAATGCAGTATGGTTCGATTAATATGATCTCGATTATTTTCTTTACTAGTAGATCGTTCAAAATTTTGTTTGTCACGGAGAACAGAGTTTTGAAGAATCTTTAAGACGATCTCTCCTTTAATTTTTAAAATAAATTTTCAACGCGGTGTTCAATTTTTTTCTATACTTAACCCTTTAATTTGCTTTGTTTTGCCTATTAGCTAACATTGAGGCGAGTTCAGTGTGCTCGATATAATACATTTTTTGTATATATACCCGATTAGAAATTTCAGTTAGGCAGACATTAGGTCCGCATTAGGCGGCCGCATTAGGCTTTCCCAATGAGGCCAACCGCATTAGGCCCATGTTAGAATAGCTTTCTTAGGCTGTCGTTGGGAGACATTAATGAAATCTCACGAGGAATACCTCATCAAGACACTGTATGGATTAAATTGTAAAAACTTTTATCTTGTTGAAAGCTCTCACGCAAGCGTACGTCCGACACTGAGATGTCTGTAAATATTCCTACATATAAGTTTGAGAGCCCCACTCCACCTAATTTAGGTGTGCGCTCGGCCATCCCCATTTGGGCCACGTATAGCAACTATTAGGAATGCCTAACTTAGGCGTGCGCTCGGCCACGCCCGTTTGGGCCACGCCCATTTGGGCCACGTATGGCAACTGTTAGGAATGCCTAAGTTAGGCGTGCGCTCGGCCACGCCCGTTTTGACCACGCCCATTTGGGCCACGTATGGCAACTGTTAGGAATGCCTAAGTTAGGCGTGCGCTCGGCCATCTCCATTTCAGCCACGTATGGCAACTGTTAGGAATGCTTAAGGTAGGCGTGCGCTCGGCCACGCCCGTTTGGGCCACGCCCATTTGGGCCACGTACGGCAACTGCTAGGAATGCCTAAATTAGGCGTGCACTCAGCCACCCCCATTTGGGCCACATATGGCAACTGTTAGGAATGCCAAATTCCTTCCGAATTAGGACCTAATGCGGTAACGATTAGGCTTGCAGCATTTAGGTGTGCCTAATCGTTTCCGCATTAGGCCCACATTCGTCTTTAGGCATGCCGAACTGAAATTCTAGTCGGATACGTATAATAGAATTTATATATAAAAAACTGAACGTCATGTTGAAAATTTATTTAAAAAGAAACACAGAAGAAATACAAAGTCGTTAGCTCAGAGATTCTTCGAAATTGCGTTTTCTGTGATAAGAAACATTTTCATGGGTACCACAATAATCGATGTGGTCATGTTCTGTGAACCACAAAGTATATAAAATACGCGAGAGTAACGTTAGAATCTCTCAAGATACGTAAATAGCGACACTAATTCATAAATGTACCATAGTATAGATGGTAAGATTCTAACGTTATTTTCACGTATTTTGCATATTTTGATAGGTGATAATTGCATAGTTGAAAATTTATTTAAAAAGAAACACAGAAGAAATACAAAGTCGTTAGCTCAGAGATTCTTCGAAATTGCGTTTTCTGTGATAAGAAACATTTTCATGGGTACCACAATAATCGATGTGGTCATGTTCTGTGAACCACAAAGTATATAAAATACGCGAGAGTAACGTTAGAATCTCTCAAGATACGTAAATAGCGACACTAATTCATAAATGTACCATAGTGTAGTTGGTAAGATTCTAACGTTATTTTCACGTATTTTGCATATTTTGGTAGGTGATAATTGCATGAAAATCCGCGGTTTAATTACTAATTAAGCTGTTAATTATTATGCGATGCGAAAAAGGGAAAGGTACGAGTATTGCATAGCAACAATGGTGGATTGGGTACGTTGAATTCGTGAGAAGAACATTTTCATCGTTTTATATCCTGGTTGTTAATGCGATAGTAATTTCCTAGTCATTAGGATTATTTGCATTTGTTCCTGGAGTCGAGTACTTGCATTTAAGTGAAAGAAATTATCTTCGATGGAGAAGATACGCTTTTCAAAGACTGCAACTTACATCTGCCATACTTGAAACCAACCGAGACTGCAAATCGATTAAATCCATAATCGAATAAGCGTTAGGGTATTTACTGTAATTGTCGAACATCCATATTTTACACTTGATATCGTGGAATTGGAGAAGGATTGGAATTTTTGAAAATTAAAATCATCCTTTGAATATTTCTCTGATTGGAAATACTCGTTTCTTAATTACCATTCTTTCACGTTCTCTCCTGCTGCAAAATTGAACAGATATTCGAACTTTTGAGAATTAAACTGTATAACAAACTACAGAAAAGTAACAATTTTTTAATTATTCTCAAAAATTTCATTCCTGTTTACTGCAGTTGCAGTAATTTGAAATTATATAAATGGTGACCACGATATTAAGATTTCAATAAAGACTGCAATGCTAACGAAGGCACCAACGAATTGAGTCGAGAAAAGGACTATCGAATGGGAAGGAAAAGTATTTTTGAATGTGATAAAAATACATGTACAGATACAAAATTGAACTGTAACGAGGAGGGAATTTTCTTCTTTTTTTTTTTTTTAGCTGAAAAACGAGGAATTGCAAGTGAATCTGAAAATGGAGCGCAATAACTTGTTGATTGTATTATGAACATATTCGAAGGTTGAACTAAGAGGAATTTTACTGCATTTGCTGTACAGAGTATATTATGATGTTACTATATCAATTACATGTCTGAGAATTTTTAACATCATGAAATAGCTGATAGAATTTTTATACAGTGGTGAATTTTCCACCGAGAAATTTATATGCCAACTTATTGATTAAATACAGATGAAGATTATTAGTATAATCGATGAGAGAATAAAAATGAAGAGAGAAATTTGACTAAAAGTCTGATTAAATAACGTGTATAAATGTAACGCCGAGACATAACTTCGTTTGACATGTTGAATATTACGAGAAAGTTGTAATAATATTCAATTTTTCGACAATAGTCATATTTTACAATTATTCCAATTTTTTATGTCACGTTAAACCCGTTGTTTAACCCAGTCACGTGAAAATACAAATTTCACAGGTTGCACGGTAATTAATACCGGTGTAAAAAATAAAGCAGAACGTTATGTTCGTAAACCGAACGAATTGGAGATATAAAACGACTGGTTTCGTAAAAAGTGTTTGAATTAAAACGAAATATACAACGTAGGATTAGAATTTCTTTGTTTTGTAATTCAATGAAAATGTTTCTCAGCGGAAAATAATGCGTAAACCTAATTAGAAATAAAAGCTAACTGGTTCTATGAGAATTCGTTGTATTTAAAAGAAGATACAACGTTGGATTACAATATTTTCTTCTTTGTAATCGAATTGAATTATCTTCCGGTATAAAATAATGTGCGTTGGTTTATTTTTATGTGACTGGGTATACGAGAAACTCCGCAGTTTCTTTAAATTTTTCAAGTAATACTTGTAAATAATTTCATTGCAAGCAATGCAAAATATAATGTAAAATGCATCGACATGGCAAGTTGCTTTTGTATTATACAAATTTGCAATGCTCAGAGTCAAATTGTTAAATATGAGACTCAAAGACTTCGTAATAGTCTTTAATTAGAAGAGAAAAAAATAATCGAGCAATTGTCACATGATGTAATATAGTAAACAAATGGTCGTTGTACCAAAAAGTATTATGTATCACCTCAACAGAAACAAGAAAAGATGTTTCTGAAACTGTTGCCACTGTTTATAAAATAATTCATGTTCACTAGCATCTAATTGAAGTTTATTGTTTATGTATTCGATGGTGATAAGCTTGTCTAAACTTTACAATTTGTACAATAAAGTTTCTTCAAATCAAAAATATTATCCCTGTTGGAACATTAAATTCACATTTTGGAAGGCTACTGTGGCGCCATCTAGAACGGACCCTTTTTCTAAGATATTTTAACAATTCTCTTTCTGCAAGGTTATTGTGGCGCCATCTAGAAGGCACGTTTTTCAAGAAAATTTAATTGTTTTTCTCTAAGGACATCGTGTCGCCATCTAGCGCCAAGGTGATATTACTAAACGAAAAAATTAATTTCGGAAATTATTTGTTAATTTAGTAACAGCACCTCGGCGCTAGATGGCGACACAATGTCCTTAGAGAGAATTAATTTTTAAATAATGCTTTAAACGAACAAAGCTGACTGCTAGATGGCGCCACTATGTCCTTAGAGAGAGTTGAATTTTAAATAAATGAAATAAATAAATAAATAAAAATAATTAATTCTTAAATAATGCTTGTAATGAATTAACCTCACTGCTAGATGGCGCCACAATGTCCTTAGAGAGAGTTGAATTTTAAATAAATGAAATAAATAAATAAATAAAAATAATTAATTTTTAAATAATGCTGGTAAAGAATAAACCTGACGGCTAGATGGCGCCACCATGTCCTTAGAGAGAGTTGAATTTTAAATAAATGAAATAATTAAATAAATAAAAATAATTAATTTTTAAATAATGCTGGTAAAGAATAAACCTGACGGCTAGATGGCGCCACCATGTCCTTAGAGAGAGTTGAATTTTAAATAAATAAAATAAATAATTAAATACAAGAAAATAATATATAAATAATACTTTTAACGAATAAAGCTCACTGCTAGATGACGCCACCATCTCCTTACAGTAAGTTAATTTAGAAAAAAACTGAGTCATTTATTGGATGACTTTCACAATAAAATCTTCCGTTCCACGAGGTCGATATGACGTGTGTATTTTATTTCCTCTGGTTATTCAATTGTCGCTCAATGAGGATAATAGTTACGACGGTTACGTTGTAAATTTTTAATTCGTCTCATATGTATCCTTTTTATTGCGTGGGCATAGTTACGTCTGCTTGAGGACGTAGACTTCTCTTAGGTCAGATTAGGTCAATAAGCAAAATGATTAACCCCACTTTTTGACATTCTTGCGAAGATAACAAATTCAATCAATTTGATTTCATGGAGTTAATCACTTTTTATGCATAGATGGAAAATTTGAAGACACAAAAATGCACAGAATGCACGTAATAATCGAAAATACACAAGTACTCATCGGATAAAACAGTTGCCTATCTACCTTCGATTTTTTTCAATCACATTCATGAAAATACGAATTTGCACAAAAATCAGCAGTATACTCGTAAAACCAACAAGAATGACAAATCTATATTAATTGAATTAATGAAACGACAACTGGCTGTGAGTTAATTATTCAGGACAGCACAACGTACCAATGAATTGATGAATTTTTATTGCAAAAACACAGTTAAAGCATAAAATGAAAATTACAATCGAAGCATTAACAATTCGATGGTGCTAGGGCCGCAAGCAACATAGATACAAAGAAAATATTCATGTCACACCCTAAATGTAAAGAACCGACCGAGGAACTCGTTATTCAATAAACTTTGCTACCGCTGTCAGAATGAACGTGCACAGGACATATCTCGCGTCTCGGTTCAATTTGAAACCAGTATCCGTCCTCTGCTATCATGGCAGACGCCGATCTGGTCAACTGCAGAGGTATACGCGTCTTCTCGCAAGGTTTCAACGTGCATTTAGCGAAAAGATGGAACAGAAGAACCTTCGTCTTCAAAAGCGCGAATCTGTTCCCGATGCATACCCTTGGTCCCAGTCCAAACGGCAAATAAGCGCCAGAATTGAACTTCTTCGATTTGTCCATGAATCGTTCCGGATCGAACGTGTCCGGGTTCTCGAAGTATTGCGAATCATGCTGAAGACCGTAGATCGGTATCTGGATGTAACTTCCCTCCTCGACCACGAATCTGTTCCCGATGCATACCCTTGGTCCCAGTCCAAACGGCAAATAAGCGCCAGAATTGAACTCCTTCTTCGATTTGTCCATGAATCGTTCCGGATCGAACGTGTCCGGGTTCTCGAAGTATCGCGAATCATGCTGAAGACCGTAGATCGGTATCTGGATGTAACTTCCCTCCTCGACCACATACGGTTTCAAACCAGGCAAAGCTGGCGGCAATTCGAACCGTTTCGTGCATTTTCTATCCGTGACAGCGGCTATCGGATAGTGCCTCAGAGTCTCGTTCACCACAGCATCCAAGTATTTCATACCGTTCATGGCTTCGTACGTGATTTCACCGTCGTTCTTCGCCAAAGCATCGTCGATCTCGTCTTGCAGCTTCTTCTGAATCTTCGGATTTATCCCAACTTCGTGAGCTGCGAAGCACATCATCGTCGACACGTTCTCCAGACCTCCGACGTAGAAGATGAAAACTTGGCTGATTATGTCCTCGACGGTCAGCTCTTTACCTTTCGTTTCCATCAGCAGTTGAATCATGTCCGGTCGACTGATACCTTTCTCCACCCTCGTTTTGATATTCTCGGTCACCACGTCCATGAAGAACTTCTCGATCTTCGGGTCGACAATCTTGATACGGAATAATTTGTACAGGAAAGGGAAGTGTCTAGCCATGAAGAATTTGATTATGTTAGTTCTACCGAAATTCGTCGCTTGTCTACCGTAAACGTAGAATTTGTTCTCGCGATCGGTCATCGAGTCTACGTTGATGCCGAAGGTGCAACTCGCGATTATGTCGTTGGTGCATCTCGTGAACACGTCCTTCAATTCGAGAACCTTCTTGTCGTCCGGTAATTTCGACAGAAGCTCTCCGTATCGTTTGGCACAGTCGTTCATCAGAACGAACATGGATTTTATTTTGCTGGTGGTGAACGTCGGACTGGCGGCGTTTCTCAGGTTTCTCCACTCGTCGTCTTTCAGGATAAACAGATTTTTGGAGAATAGCAGGTCGGAATCACCGGTGATCAAGGTTTGATGGTTGACGAAATGCTCGAAATTCTTCACGGTGATCGATTTGATCAGTTCGATGTCGCGGATCACGAATACAGGTTGCATGAACTCGTAGTAAACCACGTACTTCGCGTCTTTGTGCAGATTGTAGTTGTATTGCATTATGTCCGCGACAGTTTCGCGCTGATAGAACAAGTCCCATGAACAGCCCACGATAGGCAACGATTTTCTGTACGGAATTCCGTGTTTTTTAAACGGATTGCCGAATCCCGAGAGGTAGTAGGCAGCGAGAGCCACGGCCGACAGTGCCAAAATTATGGTCCACATGGTGGATTTTTCTTAGGTGATTCGAGCAATTTTTCCCGATCTCAAGTTAATTCATTTTCACAGACACTCTGTTTTCGCGATTTCAGAATTCTCTTATGCCGGGGGATGTCGATTTCCGACGAAAGGAGTAATTAGAGTGGTTGAGAAATTTTTGACACGCTTGCGACCGTGAATCCTGAACGAAGTATGGGAAGAGACTGAGAAGGAAATGAATGTGTGTGGCCGGTTGAATCGCCTATATGTACATATCTGTTACGTAAGATAACAGGGAACATTAATCTACTGTGTGAATTGCGTAGCGCCAGAACTCCTTAGAGGGAGACGAGAGATTTTAGAATTATACTATCTGGCGTATGTCTGTTTCTCGAGCTTATCCCGTTTCTGATAACTTTCCGATATCACTGTTGCTCATCTTTCGATATCGCCATGTTGCCATCGTAGGAGGCGTGAACAGATAGAGATGTAATGTACTACATCATCGCCGTTCATTTCTTGCTTTCTCATTGTCTCCGAGTGATCATACGTGTTTTCTTACAATTATTTCGTCAAGTTTAATTAAGAGCAACATGAAAAATTTGCATGTCATCCGATGTAATCCGGGAAGGCGTTAATTTCAATGAAAGAATCAGGAGAATGTGTAGAGTAACGTATTTTCTTTTTTTGTTCGAAAGTCAATTTGTGAATAGATCAACGAAGATTCGTAGAGTAGGTACACGTGCACTTGGATTTTATAGAGAACTTCCTGTCATCGTTTGTTCCAATGAAAGAATAATTTTCCTTTCGAGTTGTTAACTCGACGTATCACCATAAATACTGTAGAAATTGTATTGGTTTTTCTTCTTTCTACTTCATTCTTCATCCTCCTCTATCTAATGTGATAAATTTAAAGAGCAGTAGAGATCATTTTCCTGTGGTACGTAATTACTTTTCAATAGAAACAATTTTATTCTACATTTTCGAATTATTTTCTTTTTAGGCAGGCCTTTCGTCAGGTGTGATCAAAAATACTCATAAACGAAGGGTTGATTATGCGGGAGTAATGATTTCTGTTTGTGAAAATTAACATCTCCGAATGGAGAGTTGTGCATAGACTTGAATGGTTCTTTAAACGGTAATAGGAACGTGTTGCCTTGCGTAATACGAGCGCATAATCAAAGTTGGGAAAGTATCTTCCTTTGTCCCAACATTTCTGTTACTTTGTTTCCATCAACATCAGACGAAATCTGGAGGAAGTAGAAATAGACTACGGTTAAAGTTGCTAACCTGTTTTCTCCGTCCTTCTCTAATCGTTTCCGCTCCTTGCTGAAGAAGTGCGGTATCCTTCGATTCTGTTCCGTTCTATTCTACTCTGTACACTCCTAACGCCCAGAAATTTCACAGAAAATAACAATCAAAGTTAATAATGAAAATATCGTACATTTCTCTATTGCATCCCGTAACAAAAATATTTTCTTTCAATGAAAAGCGTTCGCCAATTTTTATTTTGACTAGTGAAGTGAGAGATTAGGGTAATTCAGTTCTCGTCGGTAGAACGTTCTGTTGGTACGTGTGAATTTATTTCGATCCGTTTATTTCAATCATGGAAAAGAGCAATTACAATTATTTTCATGTTGATGTACACGTGTATAAAGTAAATGTCTTTTATCAGAACGCGTGAACAGCTGCTTATACTCAACAAGCAAATGACAAAGGAACTTTCAATCAGACACTTTTGTGCAATTCATTCTGAGACCAATGTTCGCTAATCGTTACAATAACCGATCGAAGATGATACAGAGCTGTGTAGAATAGACGGTGAAAGTTTCGTTCCTCAGTTCGACATTCTAATTAATACTCGTTAATTAGTATTACATGTAACGTCAGAATTTCACTTGTTCACCGTAGTCGTAATATAAACGAACAATTATGATTAGCGAACGTTGATTCACGTTATTCTTCGATACAAAGGACATCAAACTCGAAACTCAACAAGCACAAAGTGCAATGCGTCGCGGATTAGATTATAGATAATATCAGTGGCACAAGTTTACCTATTTATGTCGATCAAGTCGATATTAAGGACTCGTCCGAGTCACGTTTAATTACAACTTCTTCGATATTGCATTTATGGCATAGGTAAAAGAATAATTACGATCGACATCCAACATTGGAATGTCGATATTCACTATACGTGGCAAAGTTGTCGGACCAACTGCCTGGTAATCGAACACTTAAACATGAGAATTGTGCGAGAAACATTTATCTGAAAAAATCGATGCTTAATGTGTTACAGTGGCAAATTCATTTTTCCAACTTTTCTCACTTACACGATCCTCAATTTCGTTCAGGTGTATGTATACAGTTCAAGTTTTGGACGTATTCTTACTTACATAGGGACAAAGTATCTTCTATATTTTTGTACATGATGTAGAGTCGTAGCTTTGAACTTTAATCGAGATTTCTCTTACACGAGGATTAAAGTAATCTTAATTGTTAGGTGTTGTACGATTGAATATCATCGTAATATCTGTCTCGACTAGAATCGTGGATTTAATCAGCAGTGACTTGAAATGGCAGATTATCTTTGCAACGAAACAGAGTTCCTTTTCTTTTTTCTTTTCTCTCTTGAAAACGATCTGATATTAATCATTTATAGTCATTGTACAATCGGTGTAGTATCTTCGACGACTAGAATCGTTTAAGCTTAAGTAACAATCACTGTAACTCCTCTCTGAACTACCGAAATTCTTGTGTTCGCGCATCTCAATTGCTTATTCGAGAAGTAAGTACTTTAGTTGATTAAGTAAGTTACCTTAACCGTAAGGACTTTTAAATACACGAGTCATTTCTTAAATGCTTAAGTGAAATTATGGACCTTAGTGAAGTTAAGTGATTTCATTATTTTGGTTTTCCGTTTGTTAGAACATTCGAAAAATCATACGTACGAGTTAACAATTGATCAATCGCTGGATCGAACTTGTTTTTATTCGCATTGCTGATAGTATAATCTTGAGAATCTTAAGATTATTCCACCTTAGTTCCCCCACAATAGCTGGTTCGCGAAGATTACCGAGATTAGAATCGCTTCCTTACATAGTAGAGCTTGTACATTTTGCCTCCAGAATGATTTCTACACTTGCTATACTCTACAGAGAATGTAGATTTTGATTATTTCAATAGGCACCGCTATTTCCTAAAATTCTTCGGTTCTTTTTTAGAAATTGGTTTCGTAGTCAAACATTTTGCAGAAAGATTTTCTATTATTTACAGAGAGGTATTGTCGTTTTAGATGATGTAGTGTCGCACTGTATCACACAGGGACATATATTTATTGCAAATTATTACGAGAAAGTTTTTAAAACGATTCTTTATTACGTCTCTCTCTCATTTTTTTTTTTTTAAATTCCCCGCGTAGATTATGGAGGACGATAGAAAAATATACGGTTTCACGTAGAAAAATAAACGTGATTGCATCGGGCTATTTTTTTGCTACATGTATCTTATCTCTGACAGGGAAAAATATTGAAACGATCGATCAGTTGTTTAGAAACACTTAGAAATTTTACATGAAACACATCGATCGTACATTCTAATACTAACGTGTCGTGAGCAATTTCTTTTACGTTCTTCAATTTGTTCATTCTGTGGAAAATCAACGACACAATCACAATCAGTTTTGGCAGACGTTCCGCGAGAGGTTGCTTTCGATTTGGGTTCAATGGTCCCAAGTGAATAATACTCTAAATTTCAATATTCCGGTCTAGTAGAAAAATAGCATATTTCTCGTTGGACACAAATTTCAATCGCTGTTTTTTCTTTTCCCGTTTTCCTACAAAATATCTCTGGCTCTGAAGTGTTCAACTCGAAGTAACAAGACAACTCTCCTCGCATTTTTGAAATTGCATCGTAAAAGTAGGTACCTTCTAACCGTACCGATTACTCGAACCACTTGGGGGAGGTGGAGGAATCAAGATCACAGTGCACTTGCGTTCTACTGTTCAGTTTTTTCTCTTCCGGTTTAACAATTTGCCAGGGACGAATAAGTTTCGACAATGTGTAAAAAATGTTGCTCAATTAACCGTAAAGATTCGCAGGATTTAAAAGAGGACTCGAACAATCGCACCGATGTTTCGTTTTTCTTATTCTCGCTTCGAGAAAATCAAACATCGATTTTCTTGAAACATTTACGATATAGAACAAGCTCGACATTGCTGATCATTTTTTGGGTATCCTTAACGAGCAACCCTTTGAACGATTGTCTCCTCACGCCTCTCTACGCACGGATATAATACATACATTACATGCATGTCTTTTACTTTCATCGATGCATTTACCTCGATCACAAAATTTTTCTCTCGCACACGTGCCACAGTCTCTCCGGCAGCACACGCAAGAATTAAGTGAAAAAACAAATCAACGACCGATTATGGTCGGTTCGTCGGCCATCGCAATCTCTTCTGTCGGTGCTTTGTCCCTCTTCCTTTTCCTCGAGAACACCATGAATGCGCATCCAGAGAGCAAGTTGCAGAGAAAGACGATCCAGGCGAGAATCAAAGAGAAGTCGTATCTCATGATTGCACCCCTTGGGTACGTCAGGTTAACGTGTTTACTCTCGAACTCGATCGAGGACAGAAGTACTTGTATCACCACCATGTTACAAGCGGCTGAAACCGAGACGAGAACGACGATTACGTTGTGAAAATGTTAGTTTTCTTTTGGCAATTTATCGTTACGGCAAATCAGCGTAATTATTGGTCAAATTTCATGCATTCATTTAGGAGAATATTTTGCGTTCGTGTAACAGAAGGTTCGACGTGATTTTGATGTAAAAGAAAAATGTATGTTATGCAGATTAATGAAAAAAAAAAGCGAGAGACGTGAAACGAGAGATGAGATTCGATGTGTATGCAATGCATATTATATACACTATGCATATTTCCTGATAGAATAGAGTTGGTGCAAATTCGACGTGAACCGAAATTCGAAAGATCAAAGGGATAGTTTAGCTGAGTTACATTTATCGGTTATTCAATGTTGTAATTAATTACCGCTAATGAAGTGTATTCCACCTGCCAGTCGCTTGAACATATATCGTGGGTTGCGGAAGGTGTAAATGGAGAAACAAAAGCCCATTATCATTATGAACAAACTGATTAACGCAAACGATACCTGTGTCCTCGAATAGTCTAGAATCATCAAAATCATTACAGTAGTCTGATATAAGGAATGAACAGTAACATTAACACTTTTTTTCTCTTAGCAACATCGCGTATCTTTCAATTGCAACGCAGAGATTACAGTTTTATTTCGAACAAGATATAAGAAGAAAGTAGATTTTCTACATCTATACATATATATATATATTCTAAGGAAATGATTTGTAATTATTCTCATGCAAGTTTAATTTCCACTTACTGACAACGGTGTTCAATCCTGGGTCCAGTTTAAACTGTTTTTCAGTGGGAAACATATCCAGATTCTTACACTCGTCTGAAAGAGAAAAAGAAAAACGAAATGAATGATGGAAACGAAAGATCTGAAAGGTTAAACTAGCGTTGATTAATGTAGATTTCGCTGGTTGTTTGCAAGTGTGATGCATGCATCGGCACACGTTAAAACCTCGGTTTCATTGTAATCACCCAATTCATCTTCATTTCTCTCCCAGCTTCCATTTACTATTTTCTCATCTTGGGTTATCTTTCTTTGCCTGGAACGCCTCGTTCGTGTCTCGCGTCATGGTAAGTTATTTTTACACGCAGCCTTTAAACGTAGCTGGAGAGACAATGAGAACGTGATCAATATTTACTCCACATGATATATAATCCTTTGATTATGCGAGATAAATTCATATCCTTCTAAACGTGGAATATTTGCCCCCGCATGACAGAAAAGAACGAATTACAATTTGTCACGTTCGATTATCTATCTAATCGTAAGATAATGGACGGTACGTGCACTGTTATATGAAAATATCACAAATCACCTCGCCTGTTAATCCGCGATAGATATTCTCTCGAGAAAAAAAATGAGATTCGAAATGAAATTGCGACGAGAGGGGGGAAGTGATTAGTGACAATTCAAGATAATATTACAGTTGTCTAATTTAGTGACTGTGACGTGCGCATGATGAAGTACACGTGTGGAACACTGAACGTGACGTACGACAACTCAGTGTAGGACTACAGACGCATATTCTGACACAGCATGATTAACTACAAAGTGTGAAATTGGCTATGGTAATTTCTCAGCATTATTACACTCTTGGGAAAAAAGTAAAACGTTCATCCGAAGAAGAATTAAAATATGTAACGGTAATGTTCGAGGGGAGGAAAGTATGGAAAAAATAGGAGTAGAAAGATGGTTATATAGAAAAATGTTCAATGACACGATTGCAAGGAAAAGAGGCGAAATCTATAATTGAATAACAGATTTGAATTTTGAAGCAAACCAGACTGGTACATTGAAGTTTAAGTAAACGAATAAATTAAGTACCAAGAGAAGTTTATAATCACGCCAGGTTTATCGAGGTATGGTAAATCTCTTGATGACATATTGAATGAATATCCGCCTTCTTTAAGCAAAATTGCAATAAATCAAAGTCTGTTAGGGAGGAGTGCATATTGGTTTAGTCCGGAGTAAATGATGAAGAGAGAACAACGCTAACAACGCTGGAGGAACGTGTGCATACACGGAACACCTTCGTAGAAAATGTATTATACCAAACGGTAAAGAATTTATTTACCTAACATCGTCAAAAGTTTCGTTTTTCTTTACTCTGAATTTTAACATTTTGTTTAAAACATTCGCGAAATAATTACAGTTCTACGATTAATTCATTATTTATATCAATTGTGGAGCCCGCCTTTTTTGAAACAATGCCATTGACTTTCGAACACCTGGCTTTTTGTGGCACCGTTTGTAAACCTTTAATTTAGAACAAGTAGAATTCTGAGTGATTAATTTGGTGATGGAAAATTTGCTGCTGGTCATTTAGAACAGGGTACAACATCACTTCGAATTATGGTACTTGGTTCAGTGTAAATCACGCGTAGCTTGTTTAATTATTAAGAAAACACGGCGAGAGTTGTCAGGAATAAATGTAAATTAATTACTGTACGAGCGTTAAGCGCTTAAATAATTGGCCAAACTGCAATTTTCTAGGTTCAGTGACGAAGACTGAATTTTTTAACGTTACGTGAAAGTGTAAATAAAAAGATTTATATCGTTGAATAGTATGCTGATGAAATATATTTTTGAAACATTTTGTATACTTACGAAAAGGAACCATCTCGGTTGAATTTTCGGACTTCGGTATGATTCCACGGACGCAGCCTCTCCAAAGACCCATGTGTTTGTAGATCAATCTTCTACCTTTAGTCGGGTCCCCAAGGGGTAAACCTTCTTTATCCGGTGCTTCAAGTGTGAACCAATGGTCGGTCCCAATGGCGACCGACCATATGCACACCGATAGACCGACAAGTACGGTGCAACCAAGAAGAATTCGCCTCTCAAAGATAACCTGTGTGACACAGAGGAAAATTTCCGATAGATTCTGCCTAACCAATGAAATTCAACATTTTCAAATCTTTTTCAGGAAACTTTAATATTTGAAATTTTCCATTCTCCAATCTTTTTCACGAAATTTTCCATTCTCCAATCTTTTTCACGAAACTTTGCAATTTGAAATTTTCCATTCTAGAATCTTTTCCACGAAACTTTGTAATTTGAAATTTTTCATCCTGAAATCTTTTTCACGAAATTTTGCAATTTAAATTTTCCCCTCTGGAATCTTTTCCACGAAATTTTGAAATTAGAAATTTTCTGTTACAATCCTGAAACCAACTCAGAATTCTGAATTTCAATTAGGATAGGAGTTCAATTTGTATTAATCCTTTACTGAATCCTAGAGAGTTGCTATGCAAGCTTTTGTCCAGTTCGGTCAAAGATGTAATACCTGGTTGTATAACGCTTTCATTCGGCTGGCCATTTTTCCCAATTCTCTGGATACCAGAAATTCTTATTTGGCAGACACCACCACTTTTCCTTTGCGGCCAAGTTTAATCGTTTCGTGAAATTAATACACTATCACACAGCATTCCCAGCGTTTTGAAGTTAACATATTCACGTGGTACAAAAACTTCGATAGAACATTAAGTTTCAATTGCGGAATTATTAATTATCGACCACAAATGATCATTTCAATCACGACGTTTGAATTCCAACAGATTAATATGGAAGTTCTGATTAAGTTTAATGTATTAAATTTTTTGATTCACATCAAGTTTCTTTTATTGAACTTTTTATTACTTTGTGAGGAATTTTTTATTAAGATTAAATCATAGTTTAAATTTTGTTTGTTAGATTTACAAGTTCACGTATGAAATTCTTCTTTTTAATACTACATTTACTGCTTCTGAAATTAGGTTTTTCAGAAAGTTTCGAGTTGATTTAATTATCGTTGCTCTTAAGACATTTCTATTATATACCGAATGTTTGATATCATTTCATTGATATCATTTGTGGATAATTTGCGCAGAAACTTTACAGCAGCCTTTTCAATTTCAAGCAGTTTCCCCTTTCCTTTTTTCTTTGTTTAAGAATTACTCGCAATTTCTCAAAATTTTTTAACCTGTTTCTCTTTAATTCTCAAATATTTTCCTTATTTCTGTTAGACAATCGTGTCCATCATTCTCCTCTCTTTTTTCAGTACTGTTCCACTCGGTGGCTTCCATGTCCTTTCTGCGGTATTTCTCTGTTGCACTTTGATAATTACAATTCTACAGTTCTCAGGAAATCAACTGTACTCGGTATTATTTCTTTGCTGCAGCAGTTCACAGTTTTGCAGCCTGTTTCACCGGAGTACCTGAAAATATCAAATAAAAATTCATGATGCAGACATATCTCGTTAAATTAACACATATCTAACGACTGTTCAGCGTCTTCAGACAGTTCTTTACCAAACATGCACCTACGTTTCCACGAAACATGCCTAAACGAATATTTGGCATGAATTGCAAGTTTACACGCGAATTTTGGCTCCATTTACCGAGATTAGTGCATTATATATATTCAGTGTGATAAATAATTTGTACAATGATTAAAGATGGGATAAGATAAATATACGAGTAATGAAAATTAAATTCGTCAAATGCAACTGTACATAAATAATAAGACATAATGTATTTCTGATTCGAATGGGATGTTCCAAAATTCAGCTGTTTAAATTAATTTCACAGTTTCCTGAGTGCACAGTTCAGTGTTCAATACGATGGACACTTAGAGTGAACATTTTAAGGGGAACACTATCGAGGCGTTAAGTATTTTGTTTTTTTTTTACTTATAAGGCAACAAAGAATAACGAGAAGCGGGAACCATAAGTAGATGCCTGAAATAATTTAGCAAGAGAGAATCCTTCTACCGAAACGTGTCATAATTTCATTCCTCTCGCCATCAGCGTCAACTTGCAGAATCAAAGTGAAGTAATGCTCCATGCTAAGCATAGAAAAATTTCCCTGTCATGTTGCTCGAAATCACGGGATTAAGGGCAATAATTTATGGAGGAACATTTAAGGAGGAGACAATTGCCGGAAATAACACGTATACTTGAAGCTTGATTCACGTGTTGTTTGCCAGTTTTGCGGATTTATATCTGAATATTTCGAGTGTCCTGATAAAGTGCCTTCTTCGATTTTATCAAACATTCTGTAACTCTTCTATCTACTATTCTAACTCAGCGATACAGATCTAAGTAGCCAGAAACATTGATTATACGACGAGTCAGAAATTATAGAAGAATCCTAAATGAGTCATCAGTTGATCATTTAATAAATCAGTCGAAATTCAGATGATCGATAAAGTTGCAAACTCGTATTAGATTAAAGTGTTAGATTAAACTTTCTTTTCTACAACTCTAGATTCGAAGTGGAGAATTTTTATCGCCGATGGCTTTTGAAATCTTCTTTTTTGATTGATAAATCGACGTTGAGTTTATTTTCTTTAACGTCACAATTGGTTCGGGCCTTGTCACAATCGATCCTAAATCTTTCGATCTTTCGTTATAAGAACATAGAATGATCTTCGATGGAAGCGTGTCGTTATCTTTGTATTAAAAAGGATGTGTAGAAGACGACAACATTGTTTCCATATTATCCGGTCCGAGGATACTCTCGGTATAAGGATCGAAAAAAGGTAAGCAGAAACGAAAACGCTCGAGCTGTAACGGGCTGAAGCTTGTGCCAGAGAATAATGGCTAATGGCAGCTTTTGTTAAGGCACGTCTTGGTAAATAAACCTGAAGATAAGCTTGATAGTATACAAACATGTCAGTATACGCGAGAACTGATACTATCTCGTGGAATAACGTGAAAACTAGTTTTTATTGTTTAGCAATTGATACAAGCGCGTTATCGTTGAAACATCACGTTGTTATTTCGAAAGGAAAAGAATATGAACGGTTGAAGGAAGTATCGACGTAATGGTATAATTCGATACAGGAACGAAAATAGAAAAATAGCATTTCGGAACTGGAACTCGTGAATAAAACGTGAAGATTGTAAAGTAGAAAATTTATGTATTTCTTTTTATATTTTTCCATCGTTAATCGCCGTATGTTTGCGAGCCACGGAATCGTATACAGAGAAAATAGATGTTTGAACGCAGGTATAGCGAGGGAGTTAGAGAACTATAAGTCGGAGAGTTTCGACGTCGACCAGAAACGGAGCATAAATTTTGGCAAGACAAGATAGACTAGCAGACGTTTCATTGTAAATCGAAGATTCATCTTACTTTGTTTCGAAATCTTCCGCACGTACAGCCTGCATACCAACGAAACGATTTGCTAATTGAAGTTTTCCGAGTAATTAATTCGTAGCAATATTGGCGTGCCATGCAACGAATAAATAATCCGTGACAGGCAATATATGTATATTTAAATAACGGATTTGCTGTCGGTTTACTCAGATGTATAAAATACGTCGATCTGATAACATTTTCATGAAAAACTAGACGATGCTTAACTATCTGTGTAATTTAAATATTCAAGCATTTAAATGAAACGTATAAAATTTTCAATATTCGTCAAACGAGAATGAATAAAGAGAGACGTATTTGTCTGATTTGTGACGTCTGTTTCTACTGCTGCCTGCATGCCCAAAATGATGCGTTGCAGCCAGTGAATAATTAATTATAATAATTATTTTAATACCACATTTACACACGTGGCAAAATTATTAATATTCATTGTGCTTGTCAAGTATAATGGAAGTGTACTGATTTGTTATACGGAAAATAGAGTTTTCCAAGGAAAAAGGAGAATATTATTTCATTATAAAATCTCACTTTACCAGAATTAATGTTATAATTCAAGTAGACTAAGATGTTAGATGAAAGTAGTTCTTCTAAATCCATTTAAAAAACCGATCATCTTTAAGTATGCCTCGACTCTGTCTTGCTAATAAATTATTATTTCTGAAAGATGTTCGTAGCGACCATCTGTCTTTCAGGTTTGCTATCAATATTAGCTACGAAGATTTAATATCGATCGTAATATCGTACGAATGAAAATATCACCAGCAATCGAATAATCATGAAAAGTGTCTTAGAGCCTCGGTTTCGTCGATGGACGTGTCTATCATAGCAACAGACGCAGACTCGAATTTACGAGACTCGCGAATGTGAAAAACGATCTTCACAATCAACATGTGTACATAAATTGCTATATACAAGCACGTCACTCAGAGTGCTTAGATTACTCCAGTACGCTACTCCGACCCTCTAAATGAACCGTTCTGCTGACGTTTCTTCATGGTTAACTAAACTTTACAAAGCTTCGAGGAAGATTCTTCTCGTAAAGTGACATTTTCTTTGCAGTTTCTCTTATTAAGTTCCGTACTTTATACATATTTCGCGTAACGCGATTAGTTCTCTAAAAAAAAAGGACTCAACGAAAGAAAAGAATGATGTTTATCGTAATTATATTTGGGAAAGTAAAGTGTCATAATTTTATTAAAACATTTCTCCATGCCTTTGAAGTAGATCAGCGTTCCGTAAAAGTGATAAATAATTTTATTAATAATGCAATTGCGGGAGAGCGTGCAGGTATAGTGAACGCAGATGAATAAAAGGCTCCATCAAGCTGAGAAATCATCGGTATTTGGCCTAGTTTTTTGTGAAACTCGTTCCCTTTGTCTCCTTTCACGGCACATTAATGAACGTGGGTTTTCTCGTGGAAAATCAAAAAGGTGAAATTTGTTTCGCGAATGTTGTTAATGATTTCATTCGTTGCACGATTTTTTTTCGATCAGTTCTCCATTATTTTTTCAATACGAAATTTGTGTAAATGTAACGTTCGTCGATTTCGTAATAAGATAACACATTGTGTTTCTACTGATACCAGCTAAGTGGGAAGCCAACAATCCATAAAATGAAACATTTCCGAGCTGCGTTGATGCAATAACGCCACTCATAAATTTATCCGAATGAGTGATAAATAAATATTAATTGGCATATGTAAATCGTGTAATTTCGATGCGTGCAAAGCTGGCTGATAATTGTCTCTCGCTACCGAACATGTGAAACCATGGAAAATATGAAAACTGAAATGGTGAGAGTTGGCATTGTTCATCAAAATTTGTCGCGGTTGTAATGTATATAAATAGGTTGATTGCATAATTTTCCGTCTGCATCGAAATATCTCTTTCGCATTTCGTTCACTTGGAAAGTAAAACCGTGGAGAATACGAATAAACAGCGGAATAATATTAGGGAATTGGATAAAGTTAGTATTAGAACGTACTTTCGTATCCATCGGGGAGTAATGCAGAAAATGAGAAATAATTTTTCAAATTTGTGTTAAGCAGATTATAATGATGCAGCAGCATTATTTATTTATGGAACACCATGGACAAAGTGGAGCACATTAATATCTTTCCTATCCTTGCCTTCATTATGTAGTTTGCCCTACTTTGGTGGTGACCTAGCATTATAGTACACCGAGTAAACTGTACTACCTTACATCCAACATGTTCGCCATAGTTTTAGTTAACAAACTGACAGCTGATCCGTCACCTTCGATCTGTTGGCTCGGTACTCCCACCGAATCGTAAAATTTAAATAATTTCGACAACGATTCGTACA